CATCTCAACAAGCCAGACATCATGCCACAATCTAAATAAGTACTTGAGAAACACAAAAGTCACTGCCATCTATCAGTCAAGAAAGAGTTACAAAGCTATTTCTAAGGCTTTGGGACTTCAGTGAACCATAATAAGAGCAATCATACATCAACTGAAAACCTGGAACAGTGGTGAGGCTTCCCAGGAGTGACCGGCCAACCAAAAATACTCCAAGACCACATTGACAATTCATCCAGGAGGTCACAAAAGACCCCAGAACAACATTAACTGTAGGCTTCATATGTCTCAGTTAAGGTCAGTGTTCATGATTCAACAATAAGAAAGAGACTGGGCAAAAATGGCATCCATGGGAAAGTTCAAGGAGAAAACCACATCTGAACAAACAGAACATAAAGGCTCGTCTCACATTTGCCAAAAAACATCTTCATGATCCCCAAGACTTTGGGAAAAATACTCTGTGACTAATGAGGCAAAAGCTGAACTTTTTGGAAGGCTTGAGTCCTGTTACATCTGATATAAAACTAACACAGCATTTCATGAAAAGAACATCACACCAGCAGTAAAACATTGTGGTGGTTTTGTGATAGTATGGGACTATGTTGCTGCCTTAGGCCCTGGAAGACTTGCTGTGGTATTTGGAACCATGAATTCTGCCGTCTACCAAAACATGCTGAAGGAGACAGTCCGGTCATCTGTTTGTGACTTCAATCTGAAGCGGACTTCTGCAGCAGGACAATGATCCAAAATACTCCAGCAAGTCCACCTCTGAATGGCTTAAAACAAAAACAAACTGAAGACTGGAGTGGCCCAGTCAAAGTCCTGACCTGAATCTGATTGAAATGATGTGGGATGAATTTAAAAAAATTTCAAAAACCCTGAATGGCTGAGTTTGTGGCTGAAATACAACAATTCTGAGTGGGCCAAAATTAATCCACAGCGCTGTAAAAGAATCATTGGCAGTTATCGCAAACCCTTGATTGCAGTTTTTGCTGCTAAGGATGGCCCAACCAGTCATTAGGTTTAGGGGAAAATCACTTTCTCATACAGGTTCATGCAACTTCTTTCCCCTTAATAATAAAAACCTTCATTTAGAAAGTGTATTTTGTGTTTATTTTGTTATCTCTATCTAATATTTAAATTTCTGTCATGATCTGAAATATTTAAGTGTGACAAACATGCAAAAAACAAAAAAAAGGAAATCAGGAAGGGACAAACAATTTTCACACCACTGTATATATTTATAGTACAGCTAGAAATGCAGAGAAAATGCCCTTGATAGACACTGACATTTTGTTTCCCTTCCTGTCCTGCAGGTCCACTCCTGTTTATCACTGGGTTTCTCTGTCGGCTTGGGAAAATTGAAATTATCCAGTAACAGACAGTCTTGCAACAAGGTCCTACAAAACCAGGGTCTCTCGTTTATGTACAGCACTGGACTCCACCAACACTACACAGAGGTGGTAGGAGGCAATGGTTGGTTGGGAGAGTTTGCACTTACCCAGAATGACTCCCTCGGCTTTCTAACTTGGCTGAGCACCCTGAAAGATCACCCAGATGTTGTTTCCTACTCCCTTCGGCCAATCTATAGCCTGATGACAAATGGCACACAAAAGGCAGGGATGAAAGCTGCCATAGAGGAGTACTTGGAAGATAACGCTGTGAGAAAGTCACCCAATGAGCCAAACTGTGGGTGGCACATTCCTAATCTGGCTTCCAACTGCTGTCCTCTGCAAGCCTGGAGGGGGACGCTAAGGGTTACCATTGTGCGAGCCTGGAATTTGAAAGGAGATCCAGTTGGAAAAACTGAGGGGTGAATAGACTCTTGTCTATTAAGATCTGGCTGGTGTGGTATATCAAGCAGACTTAATAATTCTTCTGCTGCTCTTCTTTCTTTTCTTCTGATCACAGCTATGCTAAAATGTGGTTTGGTTCCTTCTATCGGAAGACTCGTTGGATTCGGTCAAACAATCCCTGGTGGAACGCGAATTATGATTTAGGCAAGGTCAGTAAACCCTCATTATAGATCATGATAAATCGTTTGGCCCCACAGTCAGCAGAGTTGATTTACTTTTCAAACCTGAAGCCTATCAACAGTTTACTACGGGGTTTTTTCTTGTTCTTGTTTGTTTTTTCGACACAATATATCACACAAAGCCATAGTTTAGCTAATACCTAAAAAAAATGCAAAAGCATTACCTCATCATCAATCCAAATGATCAGACTCTACTACTAAACTACTAAACTTCTGTTTTTAAGTTGCAGTTTTTAAGTTGAGCTTTAGAACCGTTGTAATGACAAATACCATGTATGTTAGTTGACTTGGAAGAAGTAATGTTAGCTAGGTAGTGGTTTAGCAAACATATACATAAACATATATGCATATTCATATTCAAAGAGCCATTCTTTAAATTGATTCCAATAATCAATCTCCCTCGAATCCACCGCTGTGTCTTTCACACAGTTAATGACTCCTATGGCCCAGTTTTAAATGCTGCTCTTATTAAGCATGTACAAATGGTTTATGGATTTGTCCTATTTCATTGTTCTCGTTTGTGTTTATTTTTCACTAGTGCTAAAATTAACATTGGTAGGATAAAACTATATTAAATCTTGTTTGATTAATTTTCTCATGAAGGTGGACACACACTTGGGTTTGAAGGTTGAAGTTTGGGACAAGGATGTATGGCATGATGACTGTCTGGGATCATGTTTCAAGTATCTTCAGCAGGGGACACACACATTTACCTGTCCAGCTAAAAGAGGTGGTTTTGAGGTCCGGTACACTCTGGCATGTGACCCTCATCTGGCTGGAGATCGGTGTAATCGTTACAAACCATCTGCAAAATAAGAAATATATTTTGTATGTTATCTTCATAATAGTTCTGTTGCTCTAATGAACTGTAAAGATTAATGTGATACTTGTCAGTTTATGCATTTATTTTTCTACTACTAAGACATAACAATATTCCACTTGTTCTTTTATATTTGTTAGAGTTTAGTCACCCTTTTTTTATTCATATGAATTTAGTTTACTATATCCTAATATTGCTTAATTTAAAAAAATTAAAAAAATCTTTTTTCTTTTGGTTTCAACAGATTAAAATGATAAATATAGACTTATAAATCCAAACCCATTACATCAGCTGGTTTGTATTCCTACTAATTTGTGAGTCTAGTTTCAGTAATGTAAAAATGTATGTGAAACCTCTAAAGGACTGTAATTCACATAAGACCTCTAATTAATTCATTAATTAAATGGATTAGTGTGTTCAAATGTTTGACTGTGTGTATTATATGCAATAAATGTAATAAAAATACAAAATAAATAATGCAATTCATTTTTTCAGATCATCATGTCTTACTGGGATGTGACAGGGCCAGAAAGTCAACAATTGTAACTATTTATGACTTACAGACCGTATTTTCCGCACTATAATGCACACGTAAAATTCTTTAATTTTCCTTGTTCCTTGTTCCTTATATCCGGTGTGCCTTATATATGAATTGTGGTTGTGCTTACCAATTTTATGTGTTACACGGCTCTCAAAAATCTGTCAAAAAAAGTTTTAGAATAACTTTGGTAAGCTTCGAAGCGGCACCGTTCGATGGATTGTCGAAGCATTACGGCTAATATAGTCAGTAGCCTTGCGGAGTAATCAGGGTCAAAGTCCATCAGCTTCAGGTCCCAAAGTCAAACAAACACTGCTACATCACTGAGAGTTAAAAACTGTCCAAATTCTTTCATCTTTAATAAAATGATCAGCGTTGCTGCTTTACCAGGTGTAACAATTAAGTTTAACATCCAGGCATCCATGAAAACAGAATTTATTAAATTTAACGGAGTTAGAAGTTAACAGGAAGTTAGCTCGCTAGTTTCCACCTACACATGATATGCCATGTTCTGACTGAGAGATTTCTGAAAAAATTAAAACGTACAGCTCTGCTATCACTTCCAACATAAACGAAGACAGAAAACGAAACAGCAGTGACTTTTGTAGGGCTACTGAAGTTGGACGAGCTGGTATATAATGATGTGCTACGTGATCACTAGTGACACAGCTATGTTAGCATAACATAAGCTGGAGCATGAACGCTAACTTATTTCCACTTTATAAAAGTTAACGCCAGGGTTCCCAATGGTTAGAGACAAATGCAATTGCATGTCAGGATGCTGTAAACGCACCAAACTTCCATCAGAAGAACAACTGAGACAATCCATCCACAATACGAGGTTAGTCATTAATATACTGCAAAAACATGGGAATAGAGCAGCTGCCAGACAATTCAACAGTAATGAATCAACGGTACGGAAGTGGAGGAAGCAGGAAGAATGAGTTGAGTAAACTTTGACTTATCTGACTCTTTTGTTTCACTTAATGCGCCTTATAATCCGATGCACATTATGGTCTGAAAAATAGGGGAGTTCCTTGATCATTAATATGCAAATTGTCAGTGGTTGATCAACAATCCACGGTTGTCCTTCTCTCCTGGAACGGCTGGAGCTTTCTATAGGCGCCTTCCCAGCTTTGACAAATGTCCAGCTGGGATAACCACATTTAGAGAGTCAAACCTTAAATACTCATCCGTATGTGTAGGTTTACGGTACAATGAGTTTTGATCAGTGGTCATTGATCAATGGTCATGAGAATTTGCATATTCAAGGAACTGACCTCCCAGCCAATTGTTCCTTTAGTGGTGCCAGTTTCAGTCATTATACAAATGTACTGTTTATAAGATTGGGGAAACCTGCAGTCAGCTGAGACTGAAGAAGTTGGATGAGTGACGAAACGTTTCTCCCTCTGACAATGCTAGGCCCAGATGAACAGAATCAAACTTTGGGGATTTACTTACCTGGATGATTGAGCATGCATCAAGAAATTGAAAATGCATTTATTTCCTACTGGAATATTTTGGGGAATTAAACAAAATAATTTCTCTACAGCTCACTGGTCGAAGCATACACCAACCAGAACAGCATCGACTGGAAGGTAGGAAACATGTTGAGTGAAACATGCAAATCATATTACTATCACTGCAAACTGTTGATGTAGTCCTGTAATCATTTCTAGCTCCATGTTTAAAAGAGGATCCCATGACTGAACATTGTAAGGACAATATTTAAAAGAACAAAAAGAAGCGAAATTACCAGGCAACTACAGTAGAGCCCTACAAACATCATACATACATGTTTGCACCCTCAACTTTATTGAGGAAGATCAACCCCATGCTTGCTTTAATACACAATTCAAAATAAGAAAGAATCACCTGCAATAACATGCACACACCATGCACTGTAATACACAGGAACAGAAGATTGTGAGAAATGTGTCTCTGTAGGGGCTATAAAAATAATCAGGAAACAAAGGTGGTGGCCGGGGGACAGCCCGAAAAGGGGACATGGGCCCATTCTCCCGCAGGCTCACCACCCACAGGAGGCGCCATAGGGGTCAGGTGCATTGTGTGCCGGGCGGCGGCCAGGAGCGGAGGGCCTGGCGGACTGATCCCCGGCTGCCAAG